CTAGCCTCTCTCAGCTCAAAATTGCAAAATGAAACTTTGCTAAGTAACATGAAAAGACGCCTGATGATTGTTGGAAAACATTCTTTGGTCAGATGAAGATAAATGTGTTTGGCTCAGATGGAGTCCAGCATGTTTGGTGTGAACCTGACCAGGACCACCACAGTGGATGCATCGTCCTGACAGTGAAGCACGGAGGTGGCAGTATCATGATATGGGGCTGCATGAGTGTAAAAGGTGTTGATGACATTTATAGATGAATGTCTGAGGATAAACCAGAATACTGTCTTATTAGATGGAGGAAGAGGAATATTCCAGCAGGAGAACCATCCGAAGAATAAAATCAAGAGTTTCTAAAAACGTTATCAGGAAGCCAGTGAACAGAGCATCTCAGTCAAGTCTGCAAGAAATAAAAGCATGAATGAGAAGTTTCTTCAAAAATGTAAAAATACAGTTAATTCAGTTGAATAAAAAAATGAATGAGATGATAAAAAGAACAAGAGAATGGGAAAAAAAAAACAAAACCCACACAATGAATATAGGTTTTGTGTGTGTGTCATATGTATAATAGACTGTCAGGATAATTATTTGTCGTATTCAGTGATGTTTTAATTGTGTGTCCCTCAGCTTGTCACATGGAGTCACATTTTGTAAAGCTCAGTGCTGCACGTCTGTCTGCTGATAGAATGTGACGCTTTGCTTTGTCATCTTGCTCTGTGAAGTTTGGAATAACAAGTTTCTTCTCTTGCATCTCCATCTCTACCTCACCTGTCCTACAGTCACCACAGGCTGCTGCTTCTGTTTGTACCTTTGACTTCTTGTGGTCACAGAGTCGAGTATTTGGTCAGAATGTGTTTCTGCTTTGTGTTTCTGACAGTGTTGTCGCCTTTAAACTGCAGAAACAAAAGCAGAACTGTATTAAACATAACTTAATGTAACACTCCCCGTTTGCCCGGTTGGTCAACAATCAAACTGCATCGTGGTTTAATGTAAAAATGGACTATCAGAATAATTTGGGGCTTAACTGTAGTTAAGGTGGAGCTTACTGAAGTCGTCACATCTGTGTTGGTTCTTTTCATTGCTCATCTATATCACACACGGTTCAGTTTGTGTGTCACATAATGTAGATTTGGAGCCGACAGATGCGTCTCATTTACCACCAGCCAGTGTTTAGTTTGAGCTGCGGGCCTCGTGCATCAGGGTGGCGGTTGCTGTGTGAGCTCCAGCCTGCTGCTCACGGGCCGGATGTGGCCCACACAGCCCACTGGTTTGTGGGTGAGTTTCCATGTGGGCCACGTGTGGGCGAAACACAGCCGGTCGGTTCTGGGTTTGAGGGGGAGCTGCGACCCAAATGCAGCACTTAAAGAATCTTTTGCAGAAATTTCAAGGCCGAAAGCCCCTTGTTAATTTTTAGAGCTCTTAATTTAAGGAAATAAGATTACATAGCTATGTGCCTATAGGTGATTAGATGTTGCAGCCTTTTAAAAAAAAAAAACGTCTGTGGCAAATTAGCTAAAGTCATGAATTCAACATGTGTCTGGAGCCTAATTTTCTAAATTAGCAGAACTGAATGGAAGCCAGTGGCTGCACGGCAAGAAAAATACTCAAACTGTTGTTGCTTATTGGCTCAGTCCACCAAACTGGTACAGGTGAGAGGTCTGGAAGAAGCCAGAGAAGTGTCGTCGAATAAAAACTGCAGTACTTTTCATTAAAATGCTGAGTAACTGTTTATAAAAGCGCAAAAGGAAACTCACTTGTTTTGTGATTTGGTTAAAAGCTCCAGTAAAGCTAAGATGCCCTCGACTGTTTCGCCAAACCTGATGAGAAACGTGTATCTGTGTATAGATAAAGACCCAAACTGTGGATTATCTGTGTGCATGTGGTGAAATGAGGTCGATCGAGGACAGCAGGCAGTGTGCATCTCATTTATTTCCACCCATTCACACATTCCACCAAACAGCCACAGCTACCTCGGAGGAGCCAGACCAGCGTACCATTACCCCTTAAATTACAATACATAAATAAAAGCTGTTTGCATATAAACAGTCGCTGATGTACACATTCCAACTTGCCAAAGTACACGCAGATTTACAAAGACACTGACAATGGGTTTTTTTTCTTCTTCTTTCTCAAAATCTATGAATTGAGGCTCTGTTTTTTTTTTTTTTGTTAAATCATTTCACTGCAACGACGTCCTTCCCTGCAGACAGATGTCAAGCCTTTGCATAACCAAGCAGGAGTAAACTCAGATACTATTTACACTGTGACAGAGGTTATTAGAACCAAGAACAGGATGATCAGAATCAACAGAACAACTGAAAGCTGTTGTTTAACATTCACAATCGTGGGTCGTCGTCCCCAAGAAAGCAGAGCTGGTTCTCGTTCCACCTTAAAAGACTGCAACGTTTCCTTGATTTAACAATTAGCCCTTGTCACAAAACGATCCTCCAACACACACGGGATGGAAGCAAATTACATCCTCGTTCCTCAAACACACTTGAGTCCCATTTGCACACAAACACACAGAGTTTTAACCGTCCCCCCCCACATTCGAGCTCAGCTTTTGCCAATCTCAAATCAACTCTTGGCCCTTTGGGCAAGTGGAGCAGCCCACTTTCTCCATCTGCAGGAGAACAGCTGAACTACATCGTGCTTCTGCTCCACTGGGTTTCACATTTTAAAAACTTCTTACGATTGTATTTTGCAGCTTTTTTTTTTTTTTGCTTTTTTTTTTTTTTTCTTAAAAGAAAAAAAGTCTGTTCCCGAGTAAATAGCAACACAAACACATCTTGTTCCGTCCGCTCAGAGCTCAAGCACCATTTCAGGACAGTTCGGATAAAACTGAATCCAATCCATACACTGTACAATATGTTAAGAAGCCTCCAAGGTGCCTGTAGTTTTTTTTTCTTTTTTCTTTCTTTTTTTAATGATTCAGTAAACAAACACGATATGGAATCCCCGTGAAAACTCTCCTTCAGGTCGTCCGTCGTGGAGGGAGGAGGGAGGAGAGATGGACGTTTCTGAGATGATGGCTTCCGCTTGTTTCTCTCGTGTAGCTGCACCAAATTAAACTTGTTCTTGCTGATTTTATTGAATGTCTTTAGCCGCCCGAGTCGACCAGCCGGCGAGGAGGCAGCGGTTCCTCGCGGCGGCGTCACTCTTCGTCGGCGTTCTTCAACATGAGGATGGAGTTGTAGATCTTCAGGGCGGGTCCTAGCTTGATTGACAGGATCTTGACTATGTCTGCTTGGGTGAGTAGCAGGAAGGCCTCGCCGTCGATTTGCTGAGGGGAAAACAAAGACACGTATGTAACCTGAGAAACTGTGAAGTAAAGCGCATTTTAACTGAAACACTTGATTCATATTTACAGTCTTTTAACTCTGAATTTCAAGCAGTTTCTGGGTGGTTTTCTTTACTGCATCGTATTTTTTTTTCATGTAGTTTGATATTCTAACTGTGTCATGCTGCACAGAAGACACGTCTGAGCTCTCTCTCCTTCTTCATGATTGTTGTGTTTCAACAGATATTGCAGTGAAAAATAACCCCAAATTAAAATTACAGTTCTTGGACTGACCTGCAAATTTTTTCCGAAAGTGATCACAGTTGTTACTAATACTGGGGGGAAAAAATGGTGACTCTACATACTTACATTCTCACATTTAACAATTTACACATATGAGCTCAGCGTTTTCACACTACTCTGCTCATCAGCTATAGAAAGATGTTTCACCATGCTGTATGTATCTGCTCCTCTGTTCACTGTTTCTAAACCATGCTGCATTCATTTTATTGATCCAGTTTGATTATCTCAGCCTCTCTTGTTGTTTCCTACACAGGCAGCAGATCAACCTGAAAACTCTGATTTTTTTCATTTTTTTTTCTGACTGTTGGCCACAGCTTTGTAAACTATGGCTTCCCAGTTGTGCACAAGAGCAAAGCACTTTTAGACTTTTACAAAATCTGGTGCAATTGGTAATTTTTTTTTTAGCAAATTTGTGAATGAAACATGTAGAATTAAGTGATTCTGATTAAAAATCCCCATTTTAAGACCCACAAAGGAGTGTTAATAAATTTAAGCAAATAACTGCGAGAACATTTTAACACCAAGCAGTTTCTGGGTGTTTTGTTGTTCCCGTCACATTTTCATTCACTGTGAACTCATTTTTCATTGCAATATTAAGCTCTGCACCTCTATGGAAACAGTACAACCATGACTAGAAAGCTGCATTTTGTTTTTGTTTTACCAAAAAACTGAAATAATCATCTACAACATATTGTCAAATGCCCCCAGTACTGAAAAGAACGGTGGCTCTGCATGCTGTAAATGATCATTTACAACCTCTACAAACTCTGCACATCATCTCTACAAAGATGTTTCACCATGCTGGATGTATCTTCCAACAAGTTGCTCCTCCGTATATTGTCTTTAAACCATATTGGGTCATTCCGAATGAAATCAACCAAATTTCTGAGAACTTCACCCTCTCGGATTCCTCCTACACCAAACTTATGAAGAAATCCCAAATCTGTAATCGTTTTTGAAATTACAGCCCTTGAGACCTGTCCAGGGTGTCCCCTGCCTTCGCCCTAAGTCAGCTGAGATAGGCTCCAGCCGCCCACGACCCTAGTGAGGATTGAGCGGTGTATAGATAATGGATGGATTACAGCCCTTGAATGAATAACTCATACAGAACTGCACATGGAGCTTTGAAACTGTTCCTCTTGGGCTAACTTCTCCTGTAGAATCCAAAAATGTAATCAGATCTGGGGTACTGTCTTCCTACAAGGCTCTAAAAATGGACGAAAATTATGTTGTTAAGAAAAGAAAGCCTCTGTTGCAGTCCCTCATTTGATGAGTATGATAGATAAAGCAGTCAGAATTGTTTTCCTGTCATTTATGCAGTTTTAGACCATGTCTATGCAGCAACCATGAACATTAGTACTCTGGGAGTTTAAGAATACATTTTTGAATACAATTTTCATGCCCTGATTTGACCATGTGGGCAGTTCGCCATCGTTTTCATACTTTTATCACGTGTTCCTTTAGATCTGAAGATGATCTGACCCAAATATGGTTTAGTTGCTGAGCCTCCTTTAGGAATTATGATTATTTTTTACACAAAGGTATCACCATGCTTTCTTTGACCCTACGGCATTGATTTCATTGACCCAGCACGTTTTATTGTCCTCTCAATTAATAACCACGTTAGTTAAGTAGCACTTAAAACCATTAGTTGATTGATTGGTCACTTAAATAGAAGACAGAAGTGCTGACGAAGAAAAAAAAAAAAAGCAGTTGGCTCACATCCAAAACATATTCTACACTTTTCCATAACATTGATCGAGCATTGCAATGAGATCTTTATCAATAAGCAAAGCAGGTATTAGTGGAGGCCTTAGTTCGATGGCGTCCTGTGTTTAGCAGTGAATTGCGTACCTCTGTTTTGAACGTAGCAGCGTGTTCTTTACATCCTGGGAGTCCTTTGACAAAACTGGCCACCTGATAAACAAACAGAAATAACACACAGCAATCAGATACACACTAATTAATCCGCATTACTGATCAATGCGTGCCTTCACTGAACCTAACGGGCAGAAAGAAGCCACCGACAACCAGAAAAGCTCCCCTGAATATTCATGCACTTTCCCTGAACAGCCAGCCGCCTTCATGTTTGGTGAATGAGCTCTGCTTTTCATGTGTGCGAGCATGTCTGACCTCCTCGGCGCTCCAAGTGGCCACTCTCTTGGCAGTCAGCCCCAGGACCTCGGGCAGCAGCTGGCAGTGTTTGTCCCAGCAGAGGGCCACCCGGTGGGGAGGAGAGGCGGAGAGGCCGGGGGAGAACACGGACTCGTGGAGGGCCTGCTGGAGGGAGATGGCATCTGGAGAGGCTGTGGAGAGGCGAGAGGAGGGAGCGCAGCAGTCAGTGGAAAGCAGGTGTGATGTACACGCTTCATTTCACAGAGGCCGCGCAATTAATTCGTTTCAGCATCAGCACTGTGGTGTGCACGAGTCACACTGCAGGATGTGCCGTGTGAATTAGGGCAAGTTAACTTCTTTTCGGCTGTTTGATGCAAAACGGTTCACAGTTTTCACAACTGATCTACAAGAGACATCTGATAGAACAGCGTTTACTTTAGTTTAAGGGTTCTTGGGCTTTTTGGGAGTTTGTTTACATGCAGAGGCTTCACGTGTAACAACAAAATGAGTGAGGAGAGAAACACTGAGAAGCAAGGTTTGGTTCAGTTGTAGGGCCGCACAGTTAATCTGATATTAATCACGATGGTCGACTGAGACGTTTGCATTTAAATTCTGTGCACATGTAGATAAAATCACCTGGTTTCTGACATTAGAATGCCTCGTTTCATGCTTTTCAAACTCATTTTTGGTCTGAGCTGCTGCACTGCGGTACCTGAAGGAGACTAAAAGCTTTTCTGTGCACAGCCGCCCACCTGGCTTCTACTGCAGCCTGCGTGTGGAGCATTAAGGGAACATCTGTAAATTATAGTGCCAAATCATAGGCTGATGCTCAGCAAGTGGGGGCAATTTTATTTATATTTAGCCTCGAGGATGCTCTGAACTCAGGTGAAGATTGTTTTAAGGCCTTTTTTTGATGCAGGTTTGTACATTAGCAGGGAAGGAACACAACAGTGAAGAGAAAGCGGCATGTACTGAAATGTGAAAGTGCCATCAATGTGATCAATAACTGTGATCTCAATATTGATCAAAATCATCGTCATTGTCATTTTGGCCATAATTGTGCAGCTCTAGGAAGTCTGTGGGCTACAGAAAGGAAGGATGACCAAAAACAGGTTCTGTGTCTGCAGTGTCCTGCAGCAGTTAACAACTAGAATCAGAAATGGAAGCTTTATCATCATTATAATGCAAGACAGCAATACAATGAAAATTTAAAGGAACTAAGTCTATAAAACTTGCAAAAAGTACAAAAAGTCTATAAAGAGCCATTGCATAAAGTCTATATGAAAACATTCTCAGAAAGTCACCAATAGGCCACTTCAAATCCTAATAAAACTTGATAATAACTTAACAGTTCCAATTAGTTGGACAATTAAAATCAGCAGCACAAATGTCTGTATGATGAGTGCACAGCCAAATCTGAATGTTATTTAAATGATGTTTTTATCAGTGTTGCACAAAATGGGACAGATTCCAAATGGCTTTTTTCAGTTTTTTTTTTTTTAATTTTCTATGCAGATGCACTCTCCTCCAATGATTAATTCTCTCCAAATAGAGTGATTCAATTCATCCAGTGAAAATTCCTGTATTTTTTTATGTATATTGCAGAAAAACAAAATATCATCTCAGGTTTTTCCAGCCTCTCATTTCACCCTTTCCCACTTTCCTCACCTTTCCCATCACCAATCTCCTCTTTGACGTAGTGCATTTTCAGGTATTTGGGAACCGGAGCCGTCCTGAAGAAAACAACAACAACAACAGGCGAGTTAGAAGCTTCTCATCCTCAGCGCTCAACTTCAGGGATTCCTAAGTGACAGGTACCGTTTGGGCCTTGTTCCGTTGTGGCTTTGCTCGCTGGCTCCACCCAGTGGCTCCAGCTGGCTGTTGCGTCCTGAGCGCTCAGCCTCCACTGTCGCTGGTTTCCTAGCAACACAGATAATCGTCGCTCAGGTGCACTGAACAGAACTGCATGCAGGATCTCAGATATGAGAGCTTTTAGAGTATGTTTCAGCAGCAGCAGACCTGTTCTGGGAGTCCTCGGCTCCTTCGGGCTGCTCTGGCGTCGAGGCGCTCGGCGTCGTAGTGTTCGTTTGAGTGTCGGGGCGTCGGCCGCGAGGGTGAGGTCCGCTGAGGGTCAGGGGTCGCTCTCCGCTCAGTCGGTCCGGCAGCAAACCCTCCTTGTTCAGATTCATCTCCGAGTAGGGACAGCTCACCTGACTGTGCACAAAAAAAACATAAAAAACTTTATAAACAGCCACTTAAAACCGTGAATGAATAAAAATTCACCTTTTTTTTTCTCTGCAATTAAACAGGTTACAACACATTGCAAAAATTAAAAAAAAAAGGCAGCTAATATCCCCTTGACTCACACTCCCACACACACACACAAGCAACACATTTAGACTGCTGGCAGCCCACACAAGTGTAAATGACACTAACACTCTTCTCCTCCTTTGTTTATTGTGTGCACAGTTAATAAGCCTCGATAAAGCAGGAGAGCATTAAATTTGAATGATCCAAAAATACGCAGTGCCACATCGGGAGAGATCGGAAACGCCACAAATGGAAATTCAGGCAAAAAATGCAGAAAATTGACATTTTATGAAGCATTTAAGAATGGACAGGATACGTAAATATGGAGGGGATGATGGAAAACACTGTATAGAAGCCACAACAGAGAAGTAATACGTGACCAAGCAAGAACAAAAGATGCCCAAAAGCACAAAACTGAGCTGTGCTACTCACGTGTAGTGGGTCCCATAGCGAGGTCCCCTGATGTGTCCGACCCCGTTGCATCCTGGGGTAGGACATCCTTGTCCGGGGGCAGTCAATAAATCACTGGAGCCTGAAAAAAAATGACGCCCACGAGGGAGTGTTGAGAAATTTAAGAAAATAACTGTGAGACTGTTTTAACCCTCTGAACCCCAAAGCAGTTTCTGGGTGTTTTGATCCTGTCACATTTTTCAGTCCTACGCCTCCATGGAAACGGCACAACTACAGCTAGAAGTAGAGAGAACTCGAAATGGTTTTCTGTATAGTAAAATGCAGTTATATTACCACGAAACATAAAGAAGGAAAATGGGGAATATTTTTGATTATCTATTTGCAAAAATGGAAAAAAACTCGAATCAACATGTACATTTTTTCCAAATACTGACAGGTGTTAGAAATAATACAGAGATAACAATAAGATGTGCGTATTAACAATTAAACCTACATTGCACCAGGGAGATTTTTGACTTTGTTTATGGTTCTGTAGATGTTTGTGAGCTACATTTACATTTACATTTACAACCTCTGCATGTTTCATGCTGCTCTACAGAAATGTTTCACCATGCTGTATGTATCCTCCAACAACTTGCTCCTCTGTTCACCATTTTTGAGGCCGTGCTGCTTTTATTTCATTGATCAAATGGGTTTTATTTCCTTTGCAGTCGCTCTAATTTGTTTCCACGCTTGCTTTCTATCTGCTCTGTTTAAACACAGCCTGCAGTTCAGCTGAATGATCTTAGAATTTTTGTCGTTTTTTTGCAGCTGTGGCGTCTGAGTTGCGCTGAAGGGTGCAGAATTTTGAATTGATGCCACGAGAATACAATTATTTTTGACAAAATAAACAACATCATACATGTCTCGTTCAAGAACCACTAAAGGGTTGAAACTAGAACAATTTTTGTGTGTTTTTTGACAGTTTCTTGCTCTGATAAACGGTGTAACTTTGCCATTTTATTTAACGACAACCAGTCTTTCAAACCCATCAGCAGGTTTGGGATTCAGAGGGTTAAATTCATGATGAAGTCCTTGCAACACCCCATCTCTAAGTTTAAAGACAGTGGCGACAACATCTGCAGTTTAAGAAAGTCAACAAGTTGCATCTCACCGTTGGGGTACTGCAGTGGGTGTCCAGTTTTCTGACACCAGCCTACAGGGTGCAGATCTGGGCAGTCGGTCTCCACCCAGTAGTCGTACTCTGAACTCCAGCCGTCAAAGTGGATCTGCAAAAGAAGAAACAGAAAAGTAAAGCCGAGCCCAGATCAAGTGAGAAGCATCTTGATGAGGGGAAATGTTGCACCTTCAGTCGGTGGTCTTCTGTGTCCATTATACTGGCAACGCGAATCAGCATCGGGTTCCTCTTATCCACGGCTTCCACTTTCATCCCGATCTGGAAGCCATGTGGAGGTCGCTGCGACGACACGTGGAACAACAAAACATCACATAACTGTATTTACTGCAGCAGCACATACGGTGTTATACGTGTTTATACGGAGTCGTACCGGTTTGAAAGCTCGAGCAGGAGCAGCTTGTGTCCCCGTCTCTTCCAGGTACTTCTCCCATGAGAAGCTCTTGGGTTCTTTATATTCTGAGGAGAGGAAATGAGGACGCGTTAGAAGCTTGGGTTGCTGCAGACGCGTCACACATCAACACAGACTCTTTTAAAGTCTTGTCTAATGAAAATCTGGGCATCCACAGCATGCACTAATGTAATTAGTTTAAGTACATTTACTTAAAGATAATCTTTCTTATTCTCTAGATCAACAACATCTATGGCACGATATAACAACAACTTTATTAGCTTTACTAGCAACTCTACATATTTAGCAGCATTTCTCTCTATTAGATCCTAGATTAGTTGGGCCCTACAGTATATTGAAGTAATGTATACTGACCCCCGTGTGTCTTGGTCTGTGTCTTACCAGCTGGGGTGGTCAGAGTTAGCTCAGCCTCTTCACAGTAACCCACAGGATGGATGTACGGACTGCTGGCGTCACACCTGAACACAAAACAGGTAAACGGGCAAACAGTGATATCAGTTCAGGATTTACCAACGAATAGCAATTAAAAAAATAGATGTTTAGACTTTCCGAAACTCTGTCTTTATGTTTTGGCTGTCCTGTATTTTCAAATTAAAGCACTTCATGAAGCTGGATGGTCGAAATATATATATTCAGTGCTTAACAAATTAGACAAGTGGTCTCATAAATGTGTTCAGCACTGTACAGTTCAGATACCGTTTCCACACTATAGTAACATTCTGAAGTCTAAGCAGTTTCTGAGCACTCTTCTGCTCCCATCACATTATTCCTCGCTGTGGTCTAATTTTTCATTTCAATATCAAGTCTTGTACCTCTACAGAAACAGCAACACCATGGCTATAGGAGAGAGCCCTCAGAAGGGCCTTTTGTGCAGAATAACAAAGTCATAATGCCAAAAATCGTTAAAAAATAAAAGTAAAAACAGGAGATGAATTTCTTGTAAATACTGAAAAAAATGGTGGCTCAACATGCTATAAATATTCTACTACTTACATTTTTTTCCAACACTCTGCCGAAAAGTCTCTGAATCTTTGTCATGCAACTGTTGATAACTACTGAGGTAATCATGGCTTCTCAGTTGTGTTGAGGAACGTAGTTTTTTCTGTTTTTACAGACTCTAGCGCATCTAGCGATCTGTTACTACTGATATTATGTTTTTCGATGAAATATGATGATTTCAGGTTTTTTTCTTCCTAGCATGTTACACACAATACATTTAGAAACTGTACTTAACAGTTCTTTGCTTTGATTATTCGTGTATTTTGCGCGTTTTTGAAAGAAAACATGCTTTTCTAACTTGCCAGCAGGTTGTGAGGTTCAGAGAGTTGAAGCTCCAGCAGCCTTGAAGGGGCAGGACACAGTTAAATACCTTCTTTTAACTCAAGCTCTCACCAATAATCATATGTGTCGTCCCAGTTGTCAAAATGAATGAGCAGGCGGTTGTCAACAACGGCAGCGATTGTTGCCACACAGATCAACAACGGGTTCTTCCTGTCGACCGCCTCCAGTTTCATCCCGGCTCTGAATCCAGATGGAGTCACGGACTGAAATGAAAGACAAAAAAACCAGTACACATTTGTCAGCAGTGCATATAAATAAATAATAATAATTAAAAAAACCCATCTAGAGCTGAAGAATTAATTGCTTTTAAATTAAAAGCATGATTCAAAAGAGTGCAGTTAGAAAATCACAAAGGCTGCATCTTAGGATATAAACTATGCAGCATGTCTACACCAAGGTTCATTTATTTAGTTTTTATTATTTTTAACTTGATTGCAGAATTTTCTTAGTCAAACATTTTCTTCTCACCTTACCGCAGTCACAGCTTTTGTGTTATTGTTGTAGCTTATATGCCATTTAAGAAATGTTTATTGCTTTACGTTCTCACCTTTGCATTACAGAGCAGGTCATATTTTCTTGATATCTCACGTGGTATCAAGACATCATGTTTTAAATGTATTAGACAATAAATACTGAACTTAAGCTTTAGGAATTATATCATAAATCACAATATATGTCAGAAAAATCAGCCCCAGAACCATCTGACAAATATACAGCAGTAAACTTATCACTCACCGTATTGAGGCTTTTGAACAGGTGTTTCGGAGCCAGCTGACCTCTGCAGTTCTTCACATACATGCTCCAGTTGAACTCGCCGTCCTTACAACCTAAAACAAGACAAACCTCGTCAGGACAGCTGTGCAGATCTTTATTAAAAAGTAAAATTTTAAGTTTATGTCAAACCCAGTGTTGTTTGCACGACTACCTTTAGGCAACAATAACTTGTGTCCGTTCTTCTCGCACCAGCCGGCCGGTTTCAGGTCCCACGAGTCGGCGTTGGCCCAGAAGTCGTAGCATTCTGGGTAGCCGTCAAAGTGCAGCCTCACCCTGTAGCCTTGGATCTGCGAGGCAAAGCAACGGCGTGAGTGAAATTCTTTTATTATAAACAAGGACAAATCGGAGCTTAAAAAAAAAACAACGTACCTCTGCAACCGTGAGCACACAGAACAGAGACGGGTGAGATGGGTCGAGACCCTCCAGCTTCATTCCCACCTTGAAACTGTTCCTGCTTTGAGGAAATGACTGATGCTGCAAGAAACATGAACATCACAGCACAGTTTAGGTGAAGAAAACTGTCGGGTAATAGTGTAAAGTGACCGATATGAAGGGGAGTTTGTACCTCTTTGAATAGTTTCACCGGAGCAGCGATGGCCCTGTCCTCCTCCAGGTAGGCGGGCCAGCTCCAAGCTCGTTTCTTATTGGGTGGAGCAGCCACTAAGGAGGGGGAAAATCAATATTCACATGTTATGAGGTAGCCTCTAATAATGTCATTATCATTTCATAACAATCCTCCTAAATCATGATATTGAAGTTTACAGACTCAGATAACAAGTTTTCGTGTATGATTTTATACATCACAGACATCTGAAAGTAAGAATATAATATTGACTGAATCCACAAATCAATGAAAACTCTTGCTCACACTTCAGTTTCATAACCTAATAAATAGAAAACCTTACAGATTTTCACCTTCTAAACATATATTATAGAGGACAGTCTTCAAAACTGTCTCAATTTCTCACCAGAAGAGCAACGAAACAACAAACTGCACCATTTCTAACACGCAAATCTAACTATGGCAAGCGGTTTTAACATTTAATAGCTACTTAGATATCCATAATTCAGTGTTTCCTCGTCAAAAAGTGTATTTTAGATACCAACATCGTCTTTCTTCCAGGACAAATCATGTCTACAATTCAGCCAAATTCCGACTAGTTGTGATTCCGGCTTCAGATATCGACAGTTTATTTCTGACAAGTCATATTTCTAGTTTTCATTTCTCTCAATTCAGCATATCTACATTGTCCTTTTTAGATTCTTATGTTAAACTGGTCATATTAATGTTGTAGATATATCCAACTGGACCTCTGACCAAGCCAAATGTAATCACAGACATCCTGAATTAGAGTTTAGACTCAGACATCCGTTTTATCACCACGTCTGAGCAGCTTAAAGCCAATTTTTTTTGTAAATTTCAGATGAACGAAGCTCTTGTTCTCCACAAACTCCTCGCTGATGAGCTCTGTCTGTTTCACAGTGTTTTCTAACCGTCTCATCCACCGAGGCAGGCGCCGTTACTTCTGCTAACACCGTTCAAATGCTTTGTTGGACCAACATCCAACGGAAAGTCTGGCATGAGCGGCATCGTCACAACAACAACTCAGACTAGTTCTAATGATGTTTGAGGTGTCTGCAGCTGTTATTCTGACTAAACTCAACTACAGAGATCTCTAACTGTGGTTTGACTGGTCGGAGTGACGTTGCTGATATCTGTAATTTTACTTTTTGAGAGTCTAACTCAGCTGTTAAATGTTAAACAGGCTTTCCACACAAGATGGAATCTAAACATTTTTAGATGCATTCAAGATCTTTTTAAGGCCTTGAATTCAAGTAACACCGCTGCAACGAGGATTGTAATAATATTTAGAGATGAGCTAAACATTTCTCCCTCCCTCAGTTTACAGCAGCAGCAGTCCAACATACCCAGTTTGGCAATTTTGGCTCCTCTCCTTCCTTTGGTCGTCTTGGCCTTTTCCTAAAAAAACAAAAAACAAAACAAAAGCAAGTTGAAAGGAATATTTAGAAATACAGAAAAAAAACTTTAATAATTACTGCAAGACTGTCCTTCACACCAGGACTGCAACAAACAATTATCTGTCTGCTATTCTCTCGATTAACAGATTAGTTGTTTTGTCTAGAAAACGTCGTAAAATGGTGAAAAAGGTCAATCAGTGTTCCCCTAATGTTTTCTCAACAACTCAAGGTTTACAGTCAGAGAGGAGTAAAAAAACAAAACAAATAAAACACACATTTAAGAAGCTAAAATCTCAGAATTTTGTCTTTCTTCAATATACTTCTTTTATTGGAACTGTGACCAATTACATTACTGTGATTTCAATTCCAATTCGTTAAACTTACACTAGTAATGTCTATTTATGTAGTTTACCAAACCCTAAGATGATAAATGTCTTGTTTTGTCCACAACAACCCAAAGATATTCAGTTAAATGTCATAAAGAAGGAAAGAAACCAGAAAATATTCGCATTCATGGAGCTGGAATCAGAGAATT